TTTAACTTAAATAAAATATATAATAAAATATATATTAAAGATTTTTATTTATTTTCTTTAAGAGATAACAAATATTCTACTTATTTCAATATTTTGTTAAAAATAATTTCCAAATAATATTATAAATATTAAGAAAAGAAGAATCAAATACAAGATTTTGAATTCTTGCAATTTATATATATAATTATTTTAATCATCATTAGGAAAAATTATTGTAATATAAAAATTGTAATATAAGAAATTTATATTTATTATAGTTGATAATTTCGTTAAATTTCTTCCAGTAACCAGTTAAAAAATGTATTAATCGTTCACGAAAATAAATTTACTGTACCGTCGTTAAAAATATTCTTCGATATCTCGAAGAAGACCAACGTAGATATCAAAGTCTGTTTTGACGGTGTTTTCTATGAGTAGCACGTAAAGCAATTATGAGATACAATAAAAACAAGATACTTAAAGAAAATAAAAAAAATAAAAAAAATAGAAAAAAGGAAAACTATTCATATAATCGGTGGAACAATTTTTGTATAAAATACATCGAAACAGACTGTAACTGTGATTATCTAATTTGATGGGAAATGAAAATGGAAAAATATGAAGATTAAGCTATTTAATTTCATATGGCCGCATGAAATAGTCCGGAGTAATTATAATATAATCTCGGATAGGATCGATACAATAGACATCTCTCCCTCTAAATACATAAATCATTGTTCATTTTCGTGCGATTGTATCGTTGTTCAATTCAATTTGTTGAAAAAGATGAAATATTTTATTCTGAATTATTTTTATTAATTTTAATCAAAAATTTAATATAACGAATTATTAATATCGTTTCTTCTAATCGACAAATAGTTAGTTTGGAGAAAACAAAAAATTTTATAAAGATTCTGGTGTTTATATGTTCATTTTGAAATCTCAAGATCCTTGAATTTTTGGAATTTTAATATCAGAAAATTTAAATTTGATGTTCAATTATGGGATGATAATGAAAATTCAATTGAAAAGTAATAATGATTTCTTGTTGTTTGAAATTAATAGTTAAAGAAATAAGAAATTCTTAAAATTCAAATTTGAGTTAATTAATATTAATAATTTTATTAATAAAAAAAAACTGAAATTCAAATTTATTGATTTAATTAATATTGCTAATTTTCTAATCAAGAAGTTAAAATTATTTTATCAATCCAAAGTTAACATTTAATAAATATTTTAATTACAAAAAGTTCAAAGAAATATTCAAATAATAATAATTCAAATATTCAATCCTTGAAAAAATCTATAAAATAGATATATCAAGGAAAAAATATTTAATTCTTTTTCTGGATCAATAAGATATTCAATCCCAAGAATTGAAATAAAAAAATATATGCATAAAAAAGTGATGAATATAATGATAAGCAAAAAAACAATATCTTTTAAATTAACAGACTTTGAATCTCCAAAGCTGACTATTTGCGTATTTTACCTCATGATAAAACGGAATAAGCATCAATCAAGAGATAAGAAAGAAATGAGTCGGTTGTACTAAGATAACACATTATAATTGCATATATTATATTTTAGTATGGACTCGAATAATGTAAAGTATTTAATGTATATTTGTAATATCGAATACGAGCATCGATTTGTTTCTTCTTTTTTGTTCTTTTTTTTCAAATTGATTGAAATTAAAGATGACCTACTTTAATAAATTTTTTGATTTATTAGCGAATAGAAAAACCATGTGTCATGAATGTACGAGATAATGAAATGTCGCATCTCTAAGCATCTATCGTGTAAAATAATTGTATAAAGCGTTAATTTATGATTTCATTATAAATTTTGATAAGCACTACTGATTGTAAGTTTGAGATTGTTCGATTTAAACTTTTCAATTTAAAATCTTTTAGATCTTTTATATTTCTGTGAACAAAAATTTAAGATTAATAATTTAATTCAAAAATTGAAAAATTAAAAGAAAAATGAAAAATTTTAAAAATTCAAAAATGAAAGTTTCAAAATTTGAAAATTTAGAATTTTAAATATATAAAACTTTGACTATTAAAAGATAAATTTTATTTATATTTCTCATTACTTATTTATATCATAATAACTCGAAGAATTTAATAACTTAAGACGATTATCAAAGCATTATTCTTCTTTCGTATAATTGACAGCTATAATTAGACTCATCTGTTCTTTCATTCTAAAAATACACAATTAAATTTTAAGTATAATCTCAAATTTATATTCAGAACTATATACATTAGTTCTCATATAACACATCAAAGTTTATACTAAGTATTATATAATCTATTGATAATTGTTACATCTCGTTAGTATCTGTGATCTTACATTTTGTAAAAATCCTACTACTTTAAGTTTATTATGTTTTTCGTGATGTGCGTGCAACGGAAGATGCAAAAAAAAAAAGCTTAAAATCATATACATGTTACTTACGTTTCGTAGATAGACCGTGTTATCGAATCGATGAGGTCGAAATTCAACGTGTTCCCCCCTACAACAAGAAAATAAAAAAATAAAATTCCACATATCTCGTATGTAAGAGGAAATCTGCAAGCATTCTATTCCTCCATTTTCTCCGCACTTAAGTCGCATTTTCAATGCAATTGATTACGAAATTTATTATTTGAAATTGAAAATTTTATTACCAGAAGCGTAGAAATATTTCCAAAGATCCAATTTTAATCAAGATTTTAAAATTCTTAAAATATTTTGATTCTCTGTAAAATCTTGCTCTATATCTATCAATAATATTTAATTTACTAAAAAATTATAATATATGATTTTTTAATAAATTAAATATTAGTAATTATTTAGTTGAAATATATATATAATTAAAATAAATTATTAATTATTAAAATAATTAAATAAAAATTAAATAAGCTTGTAATTAAAAATTCAATGAAATAATTTAGAAAACAGCTTCGCAATATTTTTCATTTTTATTCTACTTTTTTTTATTTCTTCCACAATTTGCAATATCTTCACTCTTTATCAATTGTTAATTTTTTTATTTATGTCTCGTTATTTATTTTTAAACTTTAAATCTCGTAATTGGAATTATGTTCATAAATATTGTTAAAAAATTAGCATATAATTGAATCTTTCGAGAGATATCTACACTTCTGACGTATGCGACATATTTATCTCGTTCAAAGCATTGAATTGATAATTCATTCAGGATGTATTTTATTTATTTTACACATAACCGATTAGAGAACGGATTTATTAAAAGACGTTTAAAGATAAACGTGTGTTCTCTACAAAATTAAAAGTCTTTAATATAATTTAATAAACATGAAAGAAACAATCAATAAATAAATCTAAAACCAATCTGATTTTACGATTTCAAATCGTTCGTATACAATGATATAAATTAGGAAAAAATTAATAATACATATTTTCTTCGCAATAGTTGTACATGAGAAGAAGAAGTACAATAATTTTTAAAGGATTTGTAAATAATTATCGAATATTAATATTGTAGAAAAAAAGAAAAAAAAGATAAGAACGATAATGACCAATGGATTTATTCTATTTTATTTATAAGAAAAATCGGTGTGACGCTCGATCGAATGAAATAATACTGTTTCAGAAAACATGAAAATTCGGGGGCGCTATTTCGATTTCCGCTATTCTGTCTCTGTCTCTGTCTTTCTTTCTCTATTTATCTATCTATCTATTTCTCTCTCTCTCTCTCTCTCTCTCTCTTTCTTTCTCTCATCTTCATTCTCTTTTACTCTCTTTCTCTATGCCATTGTTTAATGCAGTTCCTGTTTAATGCCACGCTTAGACAATGTTTTTAGCGAATCATTGTCGCATTCCACGACGATACGTAACGAATTTAAGAATAAGAAAGAAAGGAATAATTAAAAAAAACAATAATAATTATTATTAATTATAATTATAACGATGAATTTAAAAGAAAAAGTGTTTATTAGAGCTCCGAAGGAAGCAGATTCGATACAAATTTCAAGTGTATAGTATTCAGCAATGTAGGCGCCTTATATCCAATAAATAACTTGTAGATTTGAAATAGATTGTGTTAATATTTATCCCATCATGATTCTTTTTATCTTTTTTTAAAAAATAATATATAAATAACAGTTTTAATAACTATATTATGACATTATAATAATGTATGACGAAAGAAACACAATTTTGCAATTTAAGAACTGGATAAAATATAAAATATAAAAGAAATATAAATAGTTAAAGAATAATAGATATTATTTATTATTAATTATTAATTGTATTATATTTATATTATATTACTTTATAATATAATATATGAATTAGTTTTTCTTAAATTAATTCTTGAAAATACAAAATTTAAGAAACACATTATACATATAAATGATATAATTTCCATATCAAGAAATGAAAGAAATGAAAAAATACTAAATAACTTAATTATTGTATAAATAATTCTTTAATATTTAAATTATATTTAAATTATATTTAATTAATTTTATATTTAAATTNCTTTTCCTAAAGTAGTCCTTTAAAATATAAAGTTCAAGAAATAGATTTATAGATTGTATAATTTCCACATTAAAAAAGAAATATTAATTATTATTAATATCAATTATTTTATTATATTATTTTATTATATATTTAATATTTAAAAATTTATCCCTAAATTAATTCTTCTGTAGAACAATAAATATTCCATATGACAATAGAATAAATTGATTTCGCAATCTAAAGCACGTCTCTTGTTAGCCTTAATTCACTAACAAAACGCTTCCGTATTGCAAACAAAGGATGTTAACTTCAAAACAATTACTCAGGCATATGTTAATACAATTATATAATTATATAGCCGCTAATAAAAAATTTTTGCAACGACAAATTTCAACTTATTAATAATCTTTATAATAAATCAATATCAACCACAATATGTTATTATATCATCTACCACAGAAACACAATAAAGAATAGCCGACAAGGGCTTCTCAATTAACGTTCTACGTCTGTGCACGTAATCGTAAACCGTATACTGCAGTTGTGCAAAGAAGTTCATCGTGGTCGCTTCGACTGCCAATCGATTGAAAAATTTTTGAAAAATCTTATAACGATTGTAATCGTTATATCTGTAATATAATTTGTATTTATAGTGTCGTTCAAAAAATAATTTTTACATCCTGTAAGTACATATTTTTGCAATAAAATTTCTTTAACTTATTCCTTTTACTTATAAGAATATAAGAATATAAGAAGAACAAAAGTTTGCGATGAATTTCTTGATGTATTGTAATATTATTTTTGGAACCAAATTTTTTTCAGGAATAAAATACTTTTTTTTCAATTATTTATAGAAGAAATAATTTTTTAAAATATTTTTTTTATAAAAATATATAACATACATATTATTAAAGAATTGTTTCATCGAAAAAAAATATATTTATATTTTATATTTAGTTATTTAATAAATAAGTAAAGTATTGTTTCATGCATACATTATATTCAGCATGAAAGAGTTATAAATAGATAATAAATAATCAATAAATCAAAATTAATGATTAAATGTCTATTAATCATTAAAAATATTTTTTTTTAACACTACATTATATCATATATATACAATATAATATATATACATATATACATATATATATATATATATATGTACATATACTAGTAGCTAAAAAAATTGGAAAATACGTTAAATATGTATTCTTAAACTAAAGAAACTAAAGAAGAAATCTTTTAATTAAAAATTTGTCAAAGTAAAAAAAAATCATTATTAATAATGTTATAGTAATCATTATTATATCAATCCAGTTATATCAATTGGAATTAATAAAAAGATTATTAAAAGCTATATATAATAGCTATAAAAAAAGTGTTTTTAAATTTTTTAATTGGTACTATTGTATCATTTATCAAATAAATATCTCTAAACTTTTATCTGCCATTATATTTTTTATTTCTCTCTTTGTAAAATTTAATATTCTTTTAATAAAAAAACAATTTTAAGAAACAAATATTTATCCAAATTTTTTTTGTCTCTGATGAATCGAAATTCTAATAATAACATATAGAATCATATAATCGTATATGATAATCGAAAATAGATCGTAGACAGGATGTCAGAGATCTCGCAAACAACATTAATTGCCGAGGACATATCAGACCGAAGGCTAGGTATGGGTTTACCACGAGACTATCGGATTTCCCACCGGACCAGTCGCAATCGATTTTTAACCGCTGTTACTTTTTACCTATCGGTTTCTAGACTTATAAGCGATCTTATTACCGGAGTTACGGCGAACAGTCGCGAGACATACGTGAAATAGGAAGGATGGACAGATGGGCAGGGAAGGTGGCCGTGGTAACGGGTGCAAGTGCCGGAATTGGGGCCGCGATCGTCAAGCAATTGCTCACTCATGGTAATTCTTCACTAAAAAATACTTTTTTTTACCAATTGTTGTTTAGAAAATTTCGATCCTATATCTAATTCAACTCAAAAATTTAATTCATTTTAATAATTATTTCAGCGAATCTTGTACTTGGAATATATCTATGATATTGTAATTTGTAATTTGTATCATCGCTTAAAATATTAGAAAGAAAATAAAAATTTATTTTTTTTATTTTTATTGCAAAAAGAAGTAAATATTTTTATTTTACTTAAGTTTTTGCAGTTTAAGTATAAAACTTATATTTAAAAAAAAATAAAAAAAAGATTTTTTTTATTTAATGTTTATGCAATCTTTTATAAGATTATTAACAATTGCGCAATTGGAAGATTGCATTTGAACTGTGCAACTGAAAGAATATTTTAAAATTAAATTCTAGAAATTTTAAAAATAATAAAATAAAAGATCATATTTTGAAATGTAAAAGAAATATTTTTATTTATTATTCTTAATTTATTCAATAGAAAAAAAAATTATAAATTTATTTATTTATGAAAGATAGAATATTTTGTTTTTTCATATTTCATCTCGGATTTAAAAAAAAATAAATAAATAAATTTCGATATTTTTGTATTAAACCACGAAAAGGAATGAAAAATGAAAATAAAAATGATTCAAATTTTTCTTTTAAAATTTAAAGATAAAACTTAAAATAAAAAAATTTCAAGGAAAGAATAACATACGAGGTTTATTTTTTTAAGGAAGCATAAAATTTTTTTTTTATTAATAAGAAATTAAAAATCTGATTTGATAATTTTTACAATGCACAGCAATTTACATATCGATGAATTAATTTCTGCAAGGGATGGTGGTAGCAGGTCTTGCCAGAAGAGTAGAAAAGATAAAAGAATTGGAGCAAGGGTTGGAAGAATGTTCGGGAAAGCTGTACGCCGTAGAATGCGATGTATCAAAAGAGGAAAGCGTGATCGCAGCTTTCGCGTGGGTTCAAGAAAATCTTGGCCCTGCAAATGTATTGATCAACAATGCTGGAATAACAAAAGAATCTTCTCTTATAGGTAATTCATTCAATATGATACTCTTAATATTTTGAATTTAATTTGAACAAAATACAAATATAGAAATAATAGAATTTCTATTAAAAAAAATTTTTAATTCACTTGAATTCGAATCTAATTTTCATCGATTTAAAAAACATATTATTATAATTAATAATATACATTATAATTGTACAAAATAATAAAAATATTATGTCTTAAATGAATAACTTAAGTTCATGAAAAATAATAAAATATTTTTTCCAATTTTTAATTGCAATCTTCAAATTAATTTGTAATTGCTAACTTAGCTACAAAAATCTTTGATCGATTAGTTTAATATCAAATCTGCAGATGGCAATTTAGAAGATTGGCGCTCTGTCTTCGACGTGAACGTTTTCGGATTGTGCCTCTGCACTAAGGAAGCAATTCGCATGATGCGAGAAACAGGAGGCGAAGGTGTCATAATAAACATAAACAGTCTTGCAGGTGAAAGAGTGCCTTTCATACCTGGATTCTCCGTTTATCCAGCTTCAAAAAGAACTATCGCTGCTCTGGCGCAAACATTGCGACACGAGCTGACGGGAACCCAAATCAGGGTTACGGTACTTGCAATTATTATTTCTACTTAAATTATATTCAAAATTAAATTATTTTCGAATGAAGTGGAAATGATAAAAAATTATTTTAAAAAATTGTAACTAAAATATAAAAATAAAATAATAAAGTTACGACACGAAATTTATTATAAATATTTAATTTAGCGATTTTTTTTTCAATTTTTTTTTTTTTAAATTTCGCACAATAGAATCTTAATTTATAATTAAGTTATATATAATTATATATATAACTTATAATTATAGTCACAATAGAATTTTAATCGAAGGAGTTTGACAAACTGATACATTTTTTATTTCGTTATGAAAATATACATTTTTCCACTATTTCGTAAAAAGTAATAAAAGTATATTATTTTTTTAAATTCTCCTGATTGATTTTTTATTTAAATAATAAAATAAAGCTTCTAAAAAAATTTGAAGAATCAGATTGAGATCAAAATTAGAAAAAGTCAGTAAATTACTATATAATTATTAAATAAAATACTTTAAAAAACAAGAAGTGAGAAAAAAAGAAAAATATATTAATAACATTTCAAATTTTAATTTTTTTTTTTTCCCTGCAGGGTATTAGCCCAGGTTTAGTAGCCACAGAGTTAATGGTATCTTACAGCACGTATTCTGAGGAAGCATTAGCATCATTTCCCACATTGGATCCAGAAGACGTCGCAACAGCTGCAATATATATTTTATCATGTGCCCCGCATGTTGTCGTAAATATAATTATCCACTCTTCGATAATTGTCGAAAATTTAGAATGATATAAAAAATCTTCGAAAAAAAAAAATACATATATAGATTATTACAGATTATCACACAGACTTGAATCAACAAATATTAAATACATAAATTATACACGTGATAATGAACTGCCAATTTGATTTCTTCTTTTCTTTTTTTAATTTGCCATACATACATTTAATATATTTTCAAAATCGATTCTCTTGAAAATAAAATTTTTTTTTTAAATGTTCTGTACTCTTTATTTTCGGTTTATTTTTTTTTTTTTTTTTTTTTTTAGAAAATCATATCTTGACGATAGTATTATAATATCTTATATTTATAAAATTTCTATATATTATGCATTAATATCATTTTTAATTATATTTTCAGATTCAAGATATTATTCTGCGACCTTTGGGCGAGTCTTGGTAATAAATAACATATGAAACCATTCAAGATTTAATTATACTTTAGAATTATTCATTTCTAATTATTGCACAAACGATTGTTATAGAGACAAAGAAAATATTTATACTATCAATTGAAAATTGCACTTATTTAGTTGTTAATTAATAATTGTTATATCTTATAAAAATTCTTTAAAC